GCTGCTGCTGCTGCTGCTGCTGCTGGGATGCGTAGGTCCGGTACACTGGCCGAGCGTGTGCTGCGGTGGTGAAAGGGTGGGGTTGTTGTTTGTATGTCTGTTGGATTGGGGCTGCATGCAGCAGTATGCATGCAGTCTTCGGGTGTATCTTCAGCTGCAAAAGGATCAATCTGGTGGCTAGCAAGCCCCGAAGTAAGAAAACAAAACTGCTCCATAAAGTTAAACACCTTAAGGAGACACCTGCGTGTGTGTGTGTTGAGGGGGGGGTCCCCTTCAGGCCTCTGCTGCAGCAGCGCGCGCAGCAGCAGAGACAAAGCCACCACAGACTTGCTGCCGAGGGTTAGTGCTAGTGCCTGCAGCTCTGTCCACTCTAGAGACGGAGACACCACATGACCAGCAGCAGCAACCTGATGAAGAGTACCCTGGACCACTGGTGACAGCAGCAGCTCGGAGACTGCAGCAGCAAGAGCCTCACACTCACCAAAACCCAGACCCGAAACAGCAGACAAGTGTAAGCATGAAGTACTAACCAGCCAGGGTAAACCTAATACCCCCTCATCCACTGCAGCAGCAGAAGCAGCAGCAGCAGCAGCAGCAGCAGCAGAAGACGAAGATGCATGCATGGGGTTGGGGCTTGAACTTGTATAGAAAGGGGGGCCCCCTCGTACTCCACTGTATGCAGCAGAAGGATGTATAGCGTCTGGGTCTGTGCTGCCGGGGGGCCTCTGTCTCTCCGCTTTATCTATCAACTCCTGCAGCTCCCCATACCCACTACAGTCACAACAGAGAACCCCAAGAGCAGCAACACCACGACGACAACACTGCAGCATCTCCTGTTTCATTCTTGCTGCTCTCTGCTGCTGCTGCTGATAGGGACAGGGGCGCAGCCCCGTGCTTGTCTGTCTCCTCGGCGGCTCGCATGCACTCTCCCTTCCTTTTATATCATCCCCCTGCAGCAGCATCTGCTGCTGCAGCTGCTGCTGCAGCTGCTGCTGCAGCTGCTGCTGCAGCTGCAGCTCTCCACTTGGTTCTCTATAAAAAACTGCAGCAGCACGGTCCCTCAGGCCCCGGGTAAGAGGCAGCTGGAGGCTCTCTCCCCGCATAAAGAAGGTACGGTGTGTGTCTTCATCATCTGCGTTGTTTTGCTGCTGCTCTTGCTGCTGCGTGCTGCAGCAGAGGCCCTCAAATATACTTCCTAGGGCCCCTGTACATAACTCTATAGCCAGTGTTAGCTGCTGCAGCGCGCTGTGTCTCTCCCCCCGCAGCAGCAGGGGGGCCTCGGGGGCCTGCAGCACAGCTTGATAGAGACGGAGACTCTGCATAACCAAAGGGTGTAGACGTATAGAGCGTAGAGTTTGTTGAGAGAGAGGTCTGGGGGTGTTTGCGAGTGTGTGGGGTGTTGTGTGTTGATGGTTCCCGATCCCGATCCCGATCCCCCCAGCTCCGCTGCCGAGAGTGTGTTGCTGATGGTGGGGTTGTTGTGGGGTGTCTGGGTCTGTATACTGTAGAGTAAAGTCTGGGCCACCATAGACAAGAGNTGGTGGGGTTGTTGTGGGGTGTCTGGGTCTGTATACTGTAGAGTAAAGTCTGGGCCACCATAGACAAGAGTGAGGGGGTCTTGTAATACAAAGACAAGGTTCATTCGTCTCCTTTGTTGTATTTGTGAATGTTGATCATAGAAAACTTCTAATACAGAGCCAATACTTTCTCCAGCAACATGTAATTCTGTATGAAGACAACGTTGACCATTGGTCTGGTCATCTACAGAAAATTTTACACTCAAGTAATCTCCAGGCTGATATGATACTGTAGTAGCAAACACATCACCCCAGAAAGGGGGACAGCTGCTAGTACGAAACCCCACAACATCGTTTCTCTCAAATATATCTTGTGCTGCAGACAGCACGCAGTCTGCTGGGGCTACAGTAACCCCAAACCTCCCCGCTGACCAAACCCTAAACCCTATAACATCTGCTGCTTCTCCTGGCTCTACCTGCAGTGCTGGGAATGTAAGAGGGGCCCTACATAGAGCAACCCCACCAAGCTCACGAGCCCGTAACACATGCAGTGTGCGCCCGTGTACCTCCGCGTGAAACTCATCAGAGGGGAGACTGCATAGAAACACCTCAGACTGAGGCAAAGCAGCAAAGTCACCATCATCATCTCCCCCTGCTGCTGCTCCTGCTGCTGCTGCTGCTGCTGCTTCGGATGCTCCGCTTGCTGCTGGTGCTGCTGCTGCTGCTGCTGATGATGATGGACCTGCTGCAGCAGATACTGCAACAGGAACCACACCCAACCCTCCAGCAGCAACTGCAGATGAAGAAGAAGAGGAGGGATCAGAAGCAGAAACACCACCTGCTGCTGCTGCAGCAGCAGCAGCAGCAGAAGACCACGCGGACCCCACATCCTGCTGCCTGGGTAGCCCCTCCCCCCGCGGCTCTGCTGTCTCTGTCAACGCGAGCAGGGGGCCCTCTGTACCCGTTGGGGGCCCCTCTAGGGGCCCCAGGGGGCCCCCCATATCCATATCCTGTGGGGACTCCTCATGCAGCTGCAGCAGCGGGCCCGCTGCATGCAGCAGACTACCCAGGCTCACCGGCTGCAGCGGGGGCAGCAGCCTGCAGGCCCCCTCAGCACTTTCCCTAGAGAAGAGGCGCTGCCCCCCCCCTGCCCACATGCTGCCTGGGGCCCCGAATATACCCCACGAGCCCGCAGAACCACCTGCTGCTGTTGCTGCTGCTGCTGCTGCTGCTGCTGCTGCTGCTGCTGCTGCTGCACCTGTTGCAGAGCCTGCAGGGGGAGGAGCCAGACGACGCACACACTCTGTGAGGAGCTCATACAGCCGCGCCTTCACCGGCAGCGTGCGTAGACAAGCCTCGAGGTGTACAGGCAGCTGTCTGAAGTGAGTGAAGAGGGTCTTCAGCAGCAGCACAGCAGCAGCAGCAGATGCACGTACACACCGCAGCAGCAGCACCAGGATTCTATCTATAAGCCTCTCCGTAAACAAAACCTTCTCGGGCCATCCAGCACAAGGGGAGCAGCAGTACCCCTCATCCTCTGCTGCAATTGAGGCCCTTTCCCCCATGCTGCTGCTGCCTTCACTTGTAGCTCTGCTTGTGTTTGCTGCTGCTGCAGCTTCTGCTGCAGCAGCAGCAGCTGCTTCTGTTGCTTCTATATCTCTCTCTCTCTCCCCCTCACCGCGCCCCAGACAGCCAGTAGAGCTCCGCGTCCATACAGGGTATACATCGCCCCCCCCCCTCAACCCCAGGCTGCTGCTGCGGCGTATGTCTCTTAGGGTTTGTGTCTGCAGCTCACACAGCCTCTGCACCACCAGCAGACAAAGCTTCAGGGCCTCAGCAGCAACTGCTGCTCCCTGCATGCTTCGCTGCATGCTGCGCTGCAGCAGCACAGAGGGGGTTGGTGACCCCCCGGTGAGTGTTTTCTTAGAGCTACCCCCTGTATGTATAGCAGCTCCATCAGCAGCAGCAGCAGCAGGAGAAAAAATACCAGCAGCAAACATTCTCCCCCCATCATCATACACCTCATCAGG